GTCTGTATTCATAATATACATCTGGCAAAATAATGTCTGGCACAGTAGGGTTGATATTTTATAGGAGCCCTACACATACCTATTATCACAATTGCTCCTCATGGCAGTATAGCAACTATCAGATATATTTACATCAGATTTTTCAAATAAGCACATGATGGCTCTGAGAGTTTAAGTTACTTCTTCAAAGTCAAGAGACTTAATGGTCTAAATCTTGATTTCAAATCCAGTGTTCTTTCCCCTTTCCTGCTAATTTTAATAACAAAATGGAGCCAAGAAAATTCTGACCAACTGACCTGAAATCCTTAAAACTGTCATCTGTTGATCATTACATTCGTAAATACTCTTAAAATTCCCTATCATACCTCTTAACTATTTAAATTCAGACAAGTCTGTTTCATTCGATCACAGCTTTCTAAAATGCCTTGTAATGGTTGATGAATTGTTAGTGGCCCAAGTGAATATGTGACACCAGGAAGTACATTGATAGCCATTTGGAACCAGCACTATTATAATTGTAACAGTGTAAATAGTTAAAAGTTATTAAAATATTTTAAATAGTGCCATATAGAAGCACTTTTATTTGCTGAACAATTAAAGATACCTTGGCTCTATGAAGTTCAGGAAGATTACATTTAATAAAAGCATAAAAGCACTTGGTGCATCTCAAAGTGTTCTCATAACATATAATTTGGAAAATTAAAACTATTTTATAAACTTCTAAATAGGTTTATCTTCAATATAATTGGTATAGTATAAAGGGCACAGGGAATTTAGAATCTAGATTAATAAAACTTGAAAAACAATGATATCCCCCTTGTCAGAATATTAAAATTATTAAATTAATTTTGCACAACACCCAGAGGACTCATTTTATTCTGGACCAAATAAAAAACAAACAAACAAAAACAAAAGCAATTCAAACTTGCGCTACCACTTATCAAGCACTTTCTTCATGCTTTCAAAAGTTCACTGCTATGAGAGTGACCTTGAAAACAGATAAATTAAAATCTTTTTCCAAATGTCAAAAGCCAGAGAGAGCAGCAGGACTAGTTCCATGGGGCCTTCTGATTGGCAACCTTGTTTCCATTCGCATTCCTGCCTCCCAAGGAAATAGACAAAAACAAATGACACTGTTAGGCTTGGTTACCAGCTTCAATTTCTAGAGCTCATTTCTCAGTCCTATTACAAACTAGCTTTATGTCTGAAAGAAAGCCATTTTATTTACTAAATTATATGAAATTTGACTTTCTTCTTGTACTGAATGAGGTTATTTTCTTCCATTAATTGCTTCTCTAATGGGACATTACCTCTGGAAGAACATTAGCCCACTGTGTCATTGAAAAGACTCACTGGACCCCCGGGGCCCACCACCTTCCCTTCTTGCTCTCCTGGGCTCCAATTCAGCATTAGAAACTAAAGTGGCCAAATGCTCTGCTTAACTCCTTTGACATAAAGCAGGAAAGGAAATCCTCTGGGTTGTTCATTGACAATAACAATATTAATTCACAGAGCCTATCTTCTCTAAGTGCAAATGCATATGGAGTTGATTCAATAGAAACGTTGCAAAAGAGGCTGACATCAACAAATTAGAGCAGACTAGATTAAAAAGGACGTGAGAGAGGCTGACTATGTCACAGCCTACACTGAAGACAGGTTTGTGGAGACCTTCCTATAGAGGTGAAACTCATAGTCACCCACACACCCACCCACCCACCCACCCACACACACACCCATGCTTGATTTTTAGAAGGTACACTTCTCTAATGAAGGATGACTTATTAGCACTTCACCAGAGAGAGAAAATGTAAGCAGATGCCTGTAAGTTCAACTAATTAACCAGGCAATTCACCTCCCTCTCCCCATGATTTTGGCTTAGGCAAGTGTTCTGACTGTATGGTTGAACTGGATTGCAAAAGAGATGAACAGCTCTGTTCTTACCTTACAGTTTCATACAAAAATCCTTCTATTTCATACATATAAGCATCCAGTAATAGATGCTTATTATAATCACACTTGAGTAATTTTTAAAAAGGAGAAGGCAATAATTTAGGAAAGCAGCCCATACGTATTACAGTTTGGGAATTGGGATTTACATAGATCCAAACAGCAAATGCACTGTGAATCACAGACTCAGGTTATTACTTGAGATTTATGATGACAGAGACTGTGACCAAGTTTTGAATACAAAGAAAAATAATTGCCGAAGTTAAGAGTTATAGAATCTCCTTTCCGTTGACAACTAAATTCAGACTTGACAATTAAATCCCAGCCTTACTTCATTAGATATTAATCTTGCAGTGGAAATGAGAGGCTTTTAAAGAAGCATTTGTGCTATAATAAAAAAGGCTCTCACTACAGTAGAACAATAATGTTGTGTTGAAAGTTAGAACTATTAGACCTCGTTAGCTAATTATGGTATTGGCAACCACTTAAGTTGCTCAGTTTTTCACTTCTGTCATTTTCTGCTGTTCAACTGCTGCAGTTCAAAACGTTTTGACTACTTAAAAGGGAATACATCACCGTTGCCTTTCCCCAGTCTAACTGCACACCACTTTCCAAAGCAACAGCTTCAATCATGCTTCATAAAATCCCCTGCAAGTATATTGTTGGAAACATAAATCAGCAAGCTGGGATTTTAGTATTTCTAAGGCAAGCCCAGGGATCACTAACTGGAGGCTTTTCCACGACCCCATTTATAAAAGAATAAACAAAATTATGAGTTACACTAGATGCCTTTTTTTCAAAAACTGCTCCAGTGGTGTGTCTGATACTTGCTTCTGCATCCTTAATTGGAGGACAAAACACTAGCATAGGAGAATTGGACTCCAGGATCAGGATTGCTGTTTCCCAGCATCTCCGACTTCATTAGGACACACGGCACAGAAGTACTACATGTTCAGTTTCACAAAAGCTAGGTCTCTCTGATATGCATCTACACCTCTATGAGTGCCACGCATTTTTAAATCGCACTAGATAGATATGTAGAATGATGCTCTCCTCCTTCCCTGTTTCATTACAGTGAATATAGGCTCCCTTTCAGGCATGCTTTAGTGTTAGAGCCCCTCTGTACAATCACCCTGCATTCTGAATTATAAATTAGGGGAATCACAATTTCAGATATGTCACATATACAGGCCCAAATTAAATTGTGTCTGCATATAGTATTTAAACATTCCTAGATTTCTCTTTTGTCCCCCAAATCCCAACACACTTAGTGTCCATAAATGTAAATTCACAGACTCCACCACGGAGATATATTTCTTCTCCAAACCAGTCACAATGTAATCGTAAGTCTGCATAAACTTGCTTTCTATTATGCCCCCATCTTACTCCACACTAGCTACACTCGGTTAATTGCAGTGGTATTTTAACTGCAATTTTCAGGGACTGCTTCTTAGGATTCACTAATACCTGTCTATGTTATAAATGAACAGTTAAACATAAATCAGCAGCTCTGCAAAAATAAAAGCAGCATATCTGTAGGGCATAAAGTATATGTTGATCTTTGCTAAAATAGTGATCAAATTAACCAGGCTAATATCAGCTTCAGATGGATATATCTGCAATTTTGCTATGACTGAAATTTTGCATACTTTATATTATTAAGGGGAAATGAGTAGCATCTTACCAAGACACTTTATAAACTATAGCAACATTCGGTTTTGCATTCTGATTTCTGAACATAAAATCTGCATCCAATCATGTTTCATCAGCCACTAACACTATATAGCTTTAGGGAGGTGAGGGCAGAGAAAGGAAGGCTTCATATCCAAAATGTCAAGCCCTGCTGAAGAATGATAGAAGGACCCAGTGAGTGTGGAAGAACAGAAACAACCATTTCTGGGTTTAAAATGGAGTTCTACCACCCCCTGCTGGACCAAATGAGCAACACAGGAGAGGCTAGAAAATGCTTAGAATCGAATATAGTGGAGATATTTTAACTTGTCTTGTAATTTATGTTTTCTCAAAAAACAACTTTCACACCATACTAATAATATAACATCCTATGCAACTACCACACGTCACAAAATTACATCTATTTTCTTTTTATTTAAAGACTTCCACCAATGCATGTTTTAGCATTTTGTGTTCCCAATTAAATGTCCAAACTTGTCTGCACAGTTGAAAATGCTTCCATTTATTATAAATATATTTTATGTGAACGTGAACTATCCAAACAAAGCAAGATAAATTCAGATCTATCTCTATCTAAACAGAGGTAGCTTCCACAAATTCTCTCAGGTTATTTTAATAAGCTATTCTTTTTTTTTTTTTTTTTTTTTCTCAAGAGGTAAAAATCTCACCAGTTCTCCACAAGCTAAAACATCCCTCACAGGTGTAATCACAATCTGACGCTATAAAAATTTTCAACCTTGATGTATTAACAAGGGTGGGGGGTTGCTGAAAATGAATGACTGCAACACATGCCTAGTTTTATCCATTTGCTTACACACAACATCCATGGCCCCTCTCTTAGTTTCAACAGAAATAAACCATCATCGTTCACTTCCTAGTCAGGAATTGGGGTCTTGGGAAAGGGAGGGGGGAAAGTCTCTAAGAATTGAATTTCTTGCACACGAGAGAGATGTCACAAACGAGTTTAATGCTGATAGTTTTGCTGCTTCTGTAAAAAATCGTCGTTCCCTTTCCTTCCTCAACCTCAGATATTTAACTCTTAGTACACACCAACATACTCATCCAATTTTTGATAATGAAAATCAGAGCAAGCCAAGATCCCAGAAAAAGCAGCAGTTTGCCTCGATCCCCTGCTCACTGATGCCAACCTCCAATTCTGTATTTTCTCTTATTTAAGGGTCTCCACAGAACAGATGTAATTTTAGCGGCAGCTAAAATAAACAGTGAAAATAACAACAACAACAACAACAGTAACTATAACTTCAGTTCTTTCATTTAATTCTTCTCGTATCTCCCTCTGCCTCTCTTGGCTGGGCGGAAGGGGGAGGGAAAGTAAATGCAATACGGCACCACACTCCTACCTTGCCCGCTACTGACAAGCAACCCGAGCAGGTAGAAGGAGAGGAGGAGGCTCATGTTCGGGACGTGACCCTGGAGGACAGTTCCAAAGTTACCAAGTCCAGCCCTGGAGGAAGAACCTTCCGCTGCCACGGCCGCCTCAGCGAGAGCCGCCGCCGCCCCGGGGTGCCCCAGCCGCCCGCAGCCCGCGCGCTCCTCCTCGCAAAGTGCCTGCAAGCTCCGCTCCCTGCCGCACTAGATCCAGGCAGCTGCGGCGGCGGCGGCGGCACCAGCAGCACCAGCAGCAGCGGCCGCCGCGGCGGCAGCACAGCCGGGCGGGGGGGAGGCGGGGCGGGGGCGGGGCGGCGCGGCCGGGGCGTATCCCTCCGCGCCGCGCGGCCCCAGGATTCGTCCGCAGTCGAGCTCGGAGAAGCGGGTTCGGGTCCCGGTGCCTCCAGCTGGCGTGGCCGCTGCGGTCGGGCTGGCACGAGCACGACTGCGAGTGGCGACCGCACGGTCAGCCTGACGCCCCTGGGCCGAGGAGGAAGGGCAGCCCGGAGTTCCTGCACCGCCGCCGGCCAGTTCGCGGAAGCTTGAGCTTGCGCTGGTGCGGCGGGCGGCCGCCCGGCCCCGGGCTCTAAGCGCGCCCGGACTCAGCGGGAGCGGGGATCTGAGTGCGGGCGGTGTGTTCTGCCGCTTGAAGTGCTGCAAGGGCGTGGGAGGGGAAGGATTCTGCCTCTCCCAGGCCTTCCCTCTCGCTCAGCCCTTCAGCAGGCTGCCCCCTTCCCACGCTTCCACTCCGCGCGGTGGAGGGAAGCAGTTGTCCTCTAGTGTCTACACGGCCTGTCTCCTCCCTCTGTAGAGGGTAGGCAGGGAGATCTGAATGGTGGTCCTCCTCTACGTCGACCCAGTGCCGCTAAGAGCAGGTACTTAAGGGAGATTGGGGAGGGGGCGAGATGTTGGAGGCGCTGCGTTAAACTCGGCGGTTAGCGTCAGCCGCGTCCTTGGCCAAGTCCAGAGTCTCCCCTAGCCACTCTCAGCGGGCTCTGCCCGCCGTCCCCAGCGCACAGCACCGGCCGGGTCCCCGCGAGGAGTGCGACGAGCGAGGTCCTGGAAAGGTACAAAGACGGGTTGCGCGGGGAGTCTTCCTCAGCCCGCGCACCACCCGTACACACACCTGCGTGTGCGCGCGTGGGAATTGGAGTGATGGAGCCGTGCAAGCGCCCAGAGCTAACTCTCCTTCTCTGAAGGTTGGGGCATATCATTATTTCTCCCGCGGCTAAGAAAGGTTTGTGAGTGCGAAGTCGAGCCTGCGGCAAGAGCGAGCAGGAGGCAGACCCCCTGGCCCCAGGGCCCTGGTCGGTCGGCCTAGGTCCGAGCGCCCGGCTGGAACTGACAACGGATCCTTTCATCTGCACATTCGTTCTGGTTCCTTAGGATACTCAGCTGCCTCACCTCGCACCCAGCGAGACCATTGGCCATTTCTTTATCAGTGAGGACGCAGAGGTAGAAAGTGGGGGGGGTAGAAATATTGTAGAGCCCAGAATCCAGTCCCCCCCCCACCCCCCTCCAGGCCCCGAACCGCCCTGCAACACACACGCTGGGATTTGATGCTGAAATGCAGGTTTCCTTGCTTCCGGGCGGCCGAAGGGGTAGAGTAGAAACAAGCTAACACGGATAGGGGAGATACTGTCTGCGATTTGTGTTCCCCAGGCAGAATGCGATCTTCTTACACAGAAGATTCACTTACTTGGTATCTGGGATGAGTTTTTGAGATGAGTACAGGCAAAGGCAGCTGTCAACATATATGATGGCTGAAGTCTAAGCACCTCTCAGTTTGAGAACCTTTTCTTTTGCTTGATTTTATAGTAGTATATTTAGGACAATAAATTTAGGAAGTTCTTTTGCTGAAGCTCCCACCTCACACATTTTCCTCATTCTGCGAGGCACCAACTGTACTTAAGTAAGGTCACAGTCAGCTCTTTGCAGGAAAGGGTGGAAACAGCACATTTATAGGTGTGAAAATGACTCCTTTATTTTCACCAGTTCTTGATTTCTCTAGGGAATCAAAAAATACTACACACACAAACACACACACACACACACAGTCTCACTCACACACACACGGTCGCAGAAAAAATTTGGAAGCATATTACCTGTGCCAAAAAGCCTCTTCACCGTAGAACCTGAAATTTTTCAGTGTGACATCAGGAGTGGTCAAGTGCCTAAGACATACAAATACACACACAGACACACACACACACACCTGATAATCCTGAGAATTAGATTCCCCCCTATGTTGTTGGAAATCGATTTACTTTTATTTCAGGCAAGGGTTGAACTACGCCAGAGTAGAATCTGACTGGTGCCCTTTAAGGTAATTTAGCTATTAAATCTTCTTAGAATATGGCGGAGGGAGGAGAGAATAGACATTGAGTGCTATTACCAAATGTACCAAATCTCTGAATGTGATTAAGCCACGTGTCCTGGACAGGATATAAAAGGTATGGAAATGCATCCTCCCTCCTTTATGTGACTCATAATTACATTGAAGACAAATTATCATCGTGTCCATCTACCTGAGGAAGTGTCTCAGAGATTTAGTTGGGGCTTTAGTTATTCCATTTATAAAAATAGAGAAAGTTGAACAGGACTCAGGAAGAAGGAGAGAAGGTAGCAATGATCCATCAGAAATTAATGAAATTTCTGAGTAGAGGTTTATATTATAAGACCGTGTACAAACTATCAGAGAGAGAGAGAGAAAGGGAAAGTAAGTGTGTGTGTGTACCTGTGTTATGGTAACAATGAAAAAATAAAGCCCTGGTACTCTTGAATAGATCAAGAATAAACACATGATTCGATCATATAAATCAGGTTGTGAAAGTGTCATTAGAGAAAATAGTTATTGGGGCACAAGAGAAGGCGATCATTTCTGAATAGAGGATTGAGAAAAACTTCAGGAAGCTTTGAAGAAAGAGGAGAAATTAGGTGGGTAGAGACATGGGTAGGACAGAGAGGAGCTTAAGCAGAGCCTGTGGATATGAAAGCACACAGCTTGTGTGGAGAACAGAGAGAAGTCTAATTTGAAAAACTACAGTGCAAATATAAAGATTGGATGGAGTTGGAAAAAGGGGTCTAGGGCCATGTTATGCTAAAAAATCATAATAGTAATTACAACCTCTCAGAATAAAAGTCCAGACTTGCATGGTCAAGAAGAGCCAGAATGGCTGCCCCTCCATCCCTGAGGCATGAGTTGCAAGTTGTGAACCTATGGGAAGATTATCAACACAGGCTCTCAGGGGTTTTATGCATAGTTAGCCTGAATTTATGTTGCCATGAGGTCTCGATAGCAGGGTGACCCACACTCAAAGAAAGTCTTCCCACACTTGCTGAAACTGCTTCTTAGCCACAGGTAGAAGTGCCTCTCCAGGACTCCATCAGAAGCACATCCATTCCCCATTGCAGTGACAAAATGATATAGAACCTGACATTTGCCTTGGTCAGTTCTGCTCCACAGCGGATTGCCAGTGTGAGGACAACTTGTAGAAAAATTGCCTTTGCCCACTGTCCTCCTCCCCACTCCAAACGCATGCTTCCCACGTGCAGACATTGAGTGCTATTACCAAATGTACCAAATCTCTGAATGGGACTAAGCCATGTGTACTAGACAGGATATAAAAGGTATGGAAATGCATCCTCCCTCCTTTATGTGACTCATAATTACATTGAAGACAAATTATCATCGTGTCCATCTACCTGAGGAAGTGTCTCAGAGATTTAATTGGGGCTTTAGTTATTCCATTTATAAAAATAAGAGAAAGTTGAACAGGACTCCGGAAGCTATGAAGACCTGAGTAGTAGGAAATATCAACAGGACTGGATGCATGGTTAAATGAAAGCAGATAAATTTGTTTTAAAAGAATCAATAAAATGAACATGAAGGAGTAGCAGAGAGATAGAAACCGATAAGGTGCATTATGTGTGGAAATTATCTTCTCAGAGAGATTCTACCTCTTCCATCTGCAATCGGTTCTTGCAAAAGGCATGCAGGTATACAATCCACACATAGATCCCCAGGCACGAATGGTGTTTTGTGGGCAGGATTTAAACATTACTTCTATTTGTGTATTTCTGATGTTATTTTTGTTTAGTCTCTGTTAACAGAATTCACATGTGTTAAGATTGTACTATGATGAAATGGGACATTCTGTGTGTTCATTTATATTTTTTAAATGTCATAAACCATTATACCTAGTCATTTACTTGTCTAGAAAATTGCCTGTTTTGACTTTTTTTTTATTACCACAAAGGAAAAAATTCACTATGTATATAGGCAGATAGCCTGAAACCTCTATAAATAGATTATCCTACTACTGCTTTTCCTTCTCCATTATCGCCACTTTTTCTAACGGCCATGCCTTTGAAAATAATTTCGCCTTTCTTGATACAATGTGCTTTAGATGTTTTACTAGGCTATTTGCGAGCATCTGATAGTAGCTACGGTAGTAGTAAAATTTAGATTTTAACACCTTCCTTTGTAAATGCTTTACTTTCTTAGCCATTCTATTTGAAATTAAGAAACAGAAGGGAGAGATTTATGATACTTGAGGCACCCTGATTGCCACAGATTCTTACTTTTTAATTTCTTTCAAGATACATGGGGTCATTTTTCCTTCATGGCTATTTCATGTTCCCTTTGGGCAAATAACTGCTCACTTCGCTCTGAAATTATGCAATAATTGCCTATAATTTGCCACTTGCCAGAATAATATTTTCTTAACTCTAAGGGGTATTATATTTTTTCTTTGCCAGGCCATTCCTGGCCAATAGAATGATGGACAGAGCAGATAATGTAACAAACTTATAACACCTTGACAAAAGAGTGATTGACACAACTTCAAGAATATAGTTGGGACAAAGTGAGGCAGGAAAAAGGAAGCAAGCGGTGGCTAGCAATGAACCCATTTGATATGACAAGGATCCTAATAGGAAGGGCTGGTTGCCCAAATATTGATCACAGCCCTCAGAAATCATATTTTTTTGTCCATAGGTAGTATTGACCAAGGTGATGTCTGCACAAATCCTATCATACGGAGGACAGTTATTACATCCTAGATAACAGCAAATCCTTCATACCTGGCAAGTGATCCTATACAGGTGGAGGTTTGAGAGGAAACAGAACATTTACCAAATGCATTTTGACAAATACAGTAGGTAGTTAAATTTGAAAATCTCTTATTTCACAGGATTATTTGGTTGGTTCTGTAATAAAATTATGTTGTTGTTAATTTTCAA